CTTTGGGCTGGACTTCGCCAGGGCGGCCCCGCTGCTGCGTGGGAGGAACTCCGGAGAGGACAGACCTGGAGCCAGAGCCCACGCAGAGAAACCAGGGAAGGGAATGGGCGGGGGGGTGGACTCAGAAGGCGGGGTAATGCCCAGGGCATCAGCGGGTAGGGAGGGGGGTCAAAAAAGTCAGGATGGCGGCCACAACACATGTTAAAAGGGACGGGCTGATGGTGGGGGCACCTTGACTTTTTTGACCTCCCCTTCCCTGCCAGCGCCCCTGGGCAATCCTTCCCCTTTGCACTAGCATTTCAAGTTTGGCATATTATCATTTTAGGGGAAGATCTCATTTGTTTATTTATTTATGCAACTTATCCCTGGAGACTCTGACTCTTACTGATCTTAAAATAAAAATAATATACTGTAGAAAATCTTTAATGGCAAGAATATGACATCTTTATCACGAATACATGGCGATGGTAGCACTGGTAGCATTTTTATGAGCCTTGTCTTGGTGACAAGACCCTCACTCCCTGTTGAATCTCTGCCTGTCGTCCAGTTAGAGATTCAACAGGGAGTGAGGATTCCTCCAGCAGGATGCAGAGGTGGGGAATGAATTTCTTGAACGAACCTCAAAGTCAGCCAAGCAGAAAGACCACAGCTGCCCCCTTGCCCCAAAATTGGGGTTCGTTCTGGGAAGGGGAGCCCCCCATCGAGCAAATCCCCCAAATTGCAGCCTGGGGTCGTTGGCAAGTTGTGTGTTGGGGACCCACATCCTTGTCCCTGCACAGGGTGTGAGGCAGGCTGTGCTTGGGTTGATTTCGACAAGGGAATTGTCCCCACGCAGCGATCCTGGTTTATGGCCAGCCCTCTTTCCTGCCTTCGTCTTGTGTAATCCAGCCTTTCTGGAACTCATCTTGAAGCCAGAGGAGCCAATCCACAAAGGGGGTTAATGAGATGACACCCCACTTTGGCCAGAAGTGGGGATGGAGCGTCTTGGGTGAAGGCAGTGGCCGGGAGAGGCAGAAGGCTCCTGACCCCCTTTCTGCAAATCTGCTTCTCTGGGCATCTCAATCAGGCCCTGATTCGTGTTTGCGCAGAGCCGGTCGCCCCCCCCGGAGAAATGGGCTGGGGGGCAGGACAGGGGGCTTGGAGGTGGGGTTGCTCCCAGAGGCAGGGGGGCGTGGCACCCCTCCATTTCGCCCTTTCTCACAACACCAGCTGAAAAAGTTGGGGTGGGACTTCTCTGCCCCCCAGCCCAGGGACTTCCTCTCTCCCCTGCCCTCCACGTTGCTCCTTGTCTCGCCAAGGCGGATCCCAGCCCAAGTGCATCCAGTTTGGCCTGTTTGCTTCCCCCCTTGACTGGATGTTTTCTAACCCCCCCCCCCAGGCAGACCCACCCGTAGAAAGGCCAAGTATTTCATACGCAGATGTGGGCAGGGTCAGGTGCTGGGGGGGCGATGTCCCTCTTCAGCCTGAGATGCAGAATTCATCAGGGGGAAGGGAAAGGGGACTGCAGGCCAGGGCCCCCTCCCCGCCCCAAAGCGGCGCACTCAGGCCCGGGGCCCCTATCCGCACAGAGATTCGCTCCGTCCCCCACGACAAAAAACACGAGGTGGGTATTTT